TTTGCAGATCTTACATCGCTTTGAAGTATTTTGTTCTGAGATACTTTTGGTTTGATAATCCTTTAATTTGCTAACCTGCCTAATGAAAGCATGAAAGATGTCACATTGTTTGTATTGAGGAAAAACTTCTATTCTTACATTCCAGAATTTAGACTCTGAAAAGGAGAAGGAGCTGGAAAGACAAGCTCGCATTGAGGCAAGTTTGCGTGAACGAGAAAGAGAAGTGCAGAAAGCTCGATCAGAGCAAACCAAGGAGATCGACAGAGAGCGTGAGCAGCACAAACGGGAGGAAGCTATACAGAACTTCAAAGCACTGCTGTCTGACATGGTGAGGCACCAGCACGTTCTCTCTGATTCACTCCAGGAGCTTGGCAGTGCATTCTTTTCCAGTCATGCTGTGTATGAAAAGCACTTTGGCTTATATAGAAGTAGAATTGTCTTCACTTTCTTTACAAGAGCGTACTCTTCCAGGACAGTGATTTCTCCTCCTGCATTTGAGCTAATGCATAGTGCTTCCCCCAGCTGCTGCTTGGTTAGTGTTTAACAGAAAGCTGCTGTTGTCTCTGGATTTTTTTGAAGAGCTTTAATTCTTAATTTGATCTATAGTTTAAAAGAAGGGATAGAAGAACGCTAAGGGCTGGGTAACAATTGTCAGTGAACCACAGGACAGCACGTTGACAGCAGTAATCCTCCTTGTGGCCAGGTGCGTTCCTCAGATGTGTCGTGGTCTGACACCAGAAGGACCCTGCGCAAAGATCACCGCTGGGAGTCTGGCTCCTTGCTGGAAAGAGAAGAGAAAGAGAAGCTCTTCAATGAGCACATCGAAGCACTTACCAAAAAGAAGAGGGAGCACTTTAGGCAACTTCTGGATGAGACTTCAGCGGTAAGAGCGATATGTACTCAAACTGAGATATTTGCAAGTCCATGGGGAGTTGGATTTTTCAGTTTTCTGCCAGGAGTTGATTTTTGTTTGGCTTTATTTTCTGGGACTGTTTGCTTCACCAGTCTCTTTTCTCCATAAGAAAAATGTAAGCGTTACGTTTCCTTGCTTATCTTGAGTTCTGTTTCACTTTAACATACAGTTCATTTGCATTTGAGCTTCTAATCAGTGATTTTTTTTTATCTCCTGCAGGATGTTACGTTTCTTCAGTATTGAGTTGCTTGATATTCCTTTCTATATGGCATCTTGCTCTTTCAAATAACCAGTGTGTTTGTCTCAATACCAGTAGATGATCTTTTGTCTGTCTCAGCGTTCTGTTTTAATTTCATGCTCTTTAATTTGAACTTCTGTGCCATGCTGAGGAAGCCTGTCATCTTCTCAGTGTGCTGTGAGGTTCTAGACAGTCTTGGTCTTTTAAAATTGTGTGCAAGCTTCAGCCAGCTTTCTTGACCCTGCAGCTTTGAGTGTTTGTAAGGCATTGGTTAAAAGCTGTTGGAACAGCAGGCAGATCTTAGTGTGACAGAATCATATGGCAGATGTTATTTTGAAGCAAGTTTCCTGTAGGTAATTTTTCACAGCATATATCCATAGATATGTTCTAGAAAAGGATCTTAGAATGTAAATGGTGTTTGGGAGGATGTTGATTCGAAAGTGTCTGAAGAAAAGTAAATGTGTGAGATCATATAACAAAAAATACGAGTATAGTAATAGGAACGAGAAAAACCCAACACTTGGATACAGCAGTGATTTTGTTGGTGTGCTCTGGGGATATTTACTTTCAGATGTGGTAATATTTATATTCCACATCTGTAGTATATCATTTTTCTTGCAGTCTTAACTATTTTTGCTTCTTTTGAAAGATAACTTTAACATCGACGTGGAAAGAAGTAAAAAAAATCATTAAAGAAGATCCGAGGTGCATTAAATTTTCTTCAAGTGACCGGGTAAGAGCTTTGCATTGCTGTTGTTGGCCTTCACTGTGGTGCAGCATATGGAGAAGGAAAATCAGGGACTGCTGACATGGTGCCTGCTTGATGTGAACGTTAATAGTTTTTAATTAAAAAATGCAAGAAGTAAACAAAAATACATTCATCCTGTGACTTGTACTTATATTCAGTGTGTTGAGTTGCATGAAGTACTTTGTCTGCATTCAATGTTCTGGGTTCATCTTTTGTCTTTCAGAAGAAACAAAGGGAGTTTGAGGAGTACATTAGAGACAAATACATTACTGCCAAAGCTGACTTCCGAACACTATTGAAGGAGACCAAATTTATCACATACAGGTGTGTAGCAGAATGTCACCCAGGAGCTCTTTTTGTGTGTTTGCATGTAAGTGGCAAGAAGCTGCTCTTTTGTTCCCTAGAATAATCTTGCCTACATTTATTCTATAATTTTTTCATAATCTGTCAAAAAAGAAAAAAAAAAAAAATATATATATATATATATATATATGTGTGTGTAGCTGATAGAGGATTTGTTTTGGTTTAACTTGGCATTTCCTAATGGTTAACAAATAATGAAAATCAAACCAGCACAGAGGTCAGGTTGTCTTTTGCTTCAGAATAGCACTGTGTGTACCCTGGCTGCCAGGCAATGGATTCATTTTGAGGTGAGGGCCATCTCCTGTGCTCGTGTCAGTCCTTGCCCCTCCAGTCATCACTGGAGTGTTTTGGAGTTTTGGTTTCAGGTGGTGCTGCTCAATGAGCAAATCACAGTGCTGTCAACTGAGGCAGTGCACACAGTTTAGTACCAAAGCTGTGAAATCCTAATTGTCTGCCTCAGTTGGATGCCTGATTTAAAACTCTAGATTTTTGTCCCCCTAGGTTTTGGCATTTAAACAGTTGATGTTGTGCTGTACAAGGCCACGGCAGCCAGACACAGGTCTTCCATGATGCTTAATTAATTTAGCACAGAGGCTACAAACACTCTAGCTCCTGTGCCTTGATACTGCCAGATACTTCAGCATCCTCGTGCTGCTGACTGAGCAGAAAGTGCGCGTGGCCCAAAGCTCCGTGCAGGTTGCTGGCGTTGCTCCCCCCCGGCTGCCTGCACCGCTGTGAGGGGTGGCACCCAGGCAGTAATTCCTTGCGCCTGCTTCCAGATCCAAAAAGCTGATCCAGGAGTCAGACCAGCATCTGAAGGATGTGGAGAAGATACTGCAGAACGACAAGCGCTACCTGGTGCTTGACTGCGTGCCGGAGGAGAGGCGCAAACTCATCGTGTCCTACGTGGATGACCTGGACCGCCGAGGTCCGCCCCCGCCGCCCACAGCCTCGGAGCCGACGAGACGGACGACGAAGTAGAGCTGAGTTCACTTAAGGCAAGAGTATCTGCTAAATCAAAAAGCTTGCATGAGCCATCTGTCAGGTTTATACATATACATTACCGTGAATATATTGCAAAACCATCTTAGGAACAGAGGAGAAAGCAGTGTTTGTGAGCATAAAGTGGTCTCTGTATGAAAATAGAAGATGTATATAAAAAGAGGAAGAAAAAAGAACGTGGCAGTTATTTATGAGTGTCTGCAGGGCGGGATGGCGGGCCCAGCTGTGCAGGCTGTGTCAGGGCCGTGTCCTGCAGCGGCGGCGCAGGAGGAGCGGTGCTGTGCAGCTCCCAGAGCTGCGCATGGGGCTCAGGTGTGAGCGTGGCCCTGGGGCTGCCTGGCTGTGAGGGCGAGATGCTGCTGTAGCTGATGGCTGAGGGCCGCGTTATGGTAACAGGTGCTGATTCTGTGCTTGATTTCACCCTTGTATGTGGTGGTAAATCCGTTGGAGCCCCGAGTTAAAACTGAAAGGAGAATTAGCACTACAGAGACCAGATCAAATTTGCTCACAGGTCTGCTTTGTTCCTTACCCTATCCATGGATTAGAAACAAAATCAGGTTGCTCTGCCCAGGCAAAGATCTGTCCAATGATTTTTACTCCAGTTGGAAACACGTGGCTGGTAGCAGTGGCTACCCACCAGAGCAGGACGGTTGTATAAATGTTTTTATTTACGATAAGTGATCTTTGCATACTTCTGGATTAGACTGTGGATTCCCCCTCTGGGCAATTCTTGTAAACTATACTCCTGTTTTGAATGTTAAACTTGTGTTTCTAAAGTTTAATTTTGAAATGTTGGGATTGTTCAGTTTATGTATTTGAACTACAATAAACCAACTCCTTTTTTATATGGATTGTACAGGCCTAATGCCAGTTTTTGTTGGGTTTTGTTGGAGTTGTGAATTCAAGAGCAGAGGAAAGAACTGAAGTCCTATTGCCTAAAATGTTGGCTGTGTTTTGCCAAACTGTGTGATACTGTACAGCATCAAATTAAATTTCATAAACATTCAGATCAGCATCTGTGCAATTCGGTGCCAAACAGAATTATTTTCCAGTTCAGTTCTTCAGGCTGTGGCGTTTCTTCCTTTGCCTGCACATGTGGTGTGGGTCTGTCTCTCTGGGCCAAGGAGTGGTAGATTAAGGTCATGCCATTAATATGAAGGTAAATGAGCGCCTGTTTGTATAACATTGCCTTTGCAGCATTATCCATGCCCTACAGCTTCTAATTAGGTGCCTCTGTTTAAATTCATCACCAGCAGCAGCTGAGAATTAGCGCTTGGGCTGAGGAGGAAGCAGCTCAGTGTCGCGTGTTACCAGTAATGAGTCCTGTCCCAGTGGGGGTGCAGGCCGTGCAGCTCTGTGCAGCGTTGGGTTTGGTTTCATTGTGAAACCAATTCCACTACCAGCAGAGATTGCAGCTGAAGGAGAAGCCAGCGCCTGTTCCTGTGGTGGTGACTCCTTCACCCCTGCCTGGGTTCTGACGGCCGCTGCTGAACGCGTTGCTGCCCTCAGCAGCGCCCCGCTGGGCAGCCTGGGGCCAGAACCAACGCTGAAGGACTCAGCGCTGCAAACCTGGCTGGGAGCTGCCAGTGCCCCCCATGCACGGGGATGGTGCCCTGCACTGGGCTCGGGGCTGCCCGGCTCTTGTGCCCCCCGGCTCTCAGGGCTCCCTGCACCCCCCCAGTGTGGACCCAGCTGCAGACACCTGGAAAGCACAACAATCAGCAGCTCCACACAGGCACATTTGGAACAACTTTACTTCTGGTACCAGAGTGCAGGCTTTCTGTACAAGAACAAAAAAAAAAGAACATTTAAAAAAAAAAGTTACTTTATCTTGGCTTTTTTTTTTAACCATTTAAAAAAAAGGTACTCCTGGAAGCCACCACTTGTAGTAAATGTGTGAGGCAGTGCACATCCCCCTACTCATCCCTTTGGGATGGCGAATGCCCCCTGCTCCTGCCCCACAGATCCAGGCAGGGCCTCCCCAGGCTCCTCCTTAGGGGCTGAGGGCCAGAGGCACTGCAGGAGCTGCAGGGCATCCGAAGCACGCAGTACAGGAGGGGCGGTGGGCAGGGAGCACTTTGCCCTTAGAGCGGGGTGGAAGCTTCCCTGGGGGACACAGGTGAGGTGGTGGCGGCTCAGCAGGGCCGCCGTCCTGGGGACACTGCTGAGGTGGTGCTGTTGAGTGCTGTACTGCCTTCATTTGTTCACTGGGTCTTGCAGGAGCGGTTTCCAGACTGAAAATTATTTTTTTAATTCAACATTTGCTCGAGTAAAAAAAGGATCTGAACAATCTTAACAGTAGAAAGGGGGAGCCTGGCCATGCACACAGGAAGAGTTACTGATTTTATTATTATTATTATAATCTAGGACCGTGGGCAGCCCATGGAGGAGCTGAGAGCAGTGTTGGGCTGGGTTCTCTTTTAGAATGTCATAAATTAGCAACTTACACTTTTTCTTTAAAAAAAAAAACCAAAAAGAATAAATAAATAAATTAAAAAGAGAAAGAGTATGAAGTGCAGGTGTACAGCAACAGGACAATAACAATGACCACAGTGCAGAAAGAGAAAAAAAAAAGGAAAAAAAATTAAAGCCCAGGTTCAGTTTGGTTTGCAATCAGTGTGTTTTGGAAGCATCATTTATAAAGGTATTTCATATACCCAAAAGGCACCACAGTATCGAAACAAAGCCAAATCCTGGGGAGTTTCCTGGGAGCTCCGGGCGCAACAATTCCATTCTGTGTTCGGTTTTGCTGTTGGTAAGAAGAGGAAATGATGACGGCAAAATGACAGATGTGAAAAATGGGGACAGGGCTCTGCTATCCTGAACCAATAGCTGGGATATTTAGGATTAAGCTTTAAAGAATCGGCATGGATTACAGAAGCCCAGCACCCCGCACTGCGGTGCACACAGCCGCCCCGTCTGCTCCCCCTGCAGCTGATGGCGCCCTGCGCTGCCGCCTCACCACCCGTCAGCCAACTTCACAGCAACGCCTCGGGGCGCTGGGACAGCAGGAGCTGAAGCCCCCCCAGCTGCTCCGCACCGAGTCCGAGCTCCCAGCACTAAATGGAAACCTGGGAGCTGCTCAGCCCCGGCCCCACGGCAGCTGGTCCGCCTGCCCCTGCACACTGCCATTCCCCGAGCAGCAATTTAACAGAGGAATAGGAAAGAAAGGAAAAAAAAAAAAAAAGAAAAGAAACATGTGGAATCTTGTGTTTACTAGTATTCAGTACATGAGAGACTCCTAAAGAATAACTTGTCCTCCTAGTTAACCTTGTCCTGGAATATATACAGGTTATTTGTCGCTGCCACAGCAATGATGTTCTCTGAAGGGTGCCAAGCCGTATGCAGGATCTTTTTGCTGAAGTCCAGACTGTCCACGCTGATCTCATCTTTCCTCCTCTTGCCTCCCACGCAGACCTTGCGGGGTTTGAGGACGGCGCGCGGCTTGCTGTTCTCCCGCGAGGCCTCCAGCGTCACGTCGCGCTTGGTGTTGCGGTCAAACATGCGGAAGAAGTTGTTGTAGGAGCCGGTCATGATGACGCTGTGAGGGCGGAAGGGCGAGTCAGTGAGCATGGCCACGGCCCCGCTTCTGTCTCCTCCCCGCCCTGCCCCGCTCAGCCCAGCACTGCACAGTGGGCATCTCATGGAGTCGTGGAGCGGTTTGGGTTGGAGAGGACCCCGGGATCATCAAGTTCCACCCCCTGTGCTGTGGCAGGGCCACCGCCCTCCAGGTCAGAACAGCTCCAGGGATGGAGCATCCACAGCCTCTCTGCCTCACCGCTCCACCTGTACAGAACTTCTCTCTGACATCTTACCTAAGCCTTCCCTCCTTGAGCTTAAAACCGTCACCCCTTCTCCTGTCGCTGTTGACCCTTCTTTTTATCACCCCCTTTTAAACACTGGAAGGCTGCAATGAGGGCTCCCTGCAGCCTGTGCAAGTCCAGCTCCCTCTGCCTGTCTCTGCAGGGCTGCTCCCACCCTCTGTCTTCACAGCTGAGAGCTCATGCAGGCAAGAATTTCTTCCAGGATAATTACACAGATATCGCTCTTTATGGCAAAGATTTGGCTGACCCAAACCAAATGATTTTCACACCTTTTTCAAGGCAAACTCTCCCTGACTTAAATGGAACACACAGAGCTGTAACATGATTCAGATCAGACTCAGAATTCAGGCCCAGCTGTCTCACTGTGAGGTAAGCAAGGAGCCACTGCCCCAGGAGCCAGGCACACAGCCCCAGGCACCCCGCACACAGACCCCAGCTGTGCCCAGCCCCACAGCCACCCCTCACCTGTCAGAGCCGTTCCACACGCACTCGAACTTGTCGAAGATGCAGTCGTTCTCATACAGCGAGCACAGCTTGCTCCGCAGGTAGTCGTGGACCTGGAGGCAGGGATGGATGGAATGAGGCAGGGGGCATCCACACCAGGCCCCATGGCCGCTCCCATCCTCCCATCCCGCCCTGCCCGCAGCCCCGCTCTGCCCACCTGGTAGGTCTCGATGGGCCGGTTCTCCATGTTCAAGTCCCACACCTTGACAGTGAGGTAGTCCCGGGTCATGATGTACCTGCCGCTGTGGCTGAATTTGACGTCGGAGATGGAGGAGATGATCTCAGAAAAGAATGAGCGGTTACTGGGATCCTCGGGCTCCTCAAAAACTGCAAGAGAGGAAGGGACAGGCCTGGCATCGGTGACCCTGTGGGACCTGCTGCCCTGCCCAGCATGGGGGGTGCAGAGCAGCTGGGGACACGGCCGGCACACGGGAGGCTGTGAGCACCCTGAGCCTGCAGTGCTGAGCCCACTGTGAGCGCTGGGCATGGCATAAAGCGAGCACCTGTGTGTTATGGACTGTGCAACTCAAATGCATCTATTTTTAAATGAGTGCAATAACCAGGAAGGGTCAGCAGAGACTGATCTATCAACAGCACAAAAGAAGACCAAAAGATTTAGAGCCTCGTGTACCTTTTCTCTATAGAAATCAATGCTCAGTATAACTGAAAGTCAATGTAAATATTTTATAGCTACTGCAACCTACAGATTTAATCCGATGTCTCTGAATAAATCACAGCCTGTACAGCCCAAAGAGCATTGATGAAGGTCCAAATTAAATGCATTTACAAATTCAATTTCAAAGTAATGTCAGGTGGGCTGGCATAGCTTTAAAGAAAACAATAGATCTGCACCAACGAACAGGCTGCATTTGGAGTGCATCTGTCAGACCTTTTCCTTCCATCCCTACAGACCCCTCACCACCTCAGCACTACAGAATACTGCTGGGGAACAAGGAGAGGCTCCTCCTCCTTCTGGAAAGAAACCCATTGTCCCAACACTGACTTGGCCATAAAGCTTATGAGCATGAGCACTGCCTGGCACCCACACTCCCTGTATCCAGAAAACAAAGGCAGGAGGAGCTGTTCCAAGAGCCAGGGCTGGGTTCGACCATTCACCTCCACTGCCCCAGCCCAGCCTTGTGCTCATCACAGCTATTCTCCAACACAGCAGAGAAGGCCTGACATACAAAGGGAGCCCTTTCTTAGGGCTGGGGATGTTACACTTACAGTGAATAAACAACCATAGAAGTAGAAAGCATCAAACTGCAGATTGAAAAACAAGACGCCTCAGAGAGCAAACCCAAGAGGTGATGGCAGCACCAAGAACACGAGCAGGAGGAGAAGGGCAGCAGCAAGAAGGGCTGGCTTCAGATCCTGACCCCGCAGTGCTGTGCGCTCTGCATGGGCCGAGCAGCACTAAGCTGCACTGCGCCCCGAGAGCCTGCAGCCCAGAGCAGCTTCTGCACAGCGCTGCTGTCCGAGCTCCTGCACGGCTGTGCATGCAGCCCGAGGGCTCTGCGGGCAGCTCGGAGCACATGGCTCCTTTCCATTCCTTAGTGAATGCAACCGCCCCTCCATTTCTGTAACACCAATTCAAACCCCGTCTTTTCTTTCTCTCCTTCATTTAAACTCTAATAGGGACCATTGGCCACACGTACCAGGAAATCCAAAACAACACAAAGCCTGTGGCACAGCACCCAGAGCCCCCACTGCAGCGATGGTCCCGCAGGGCTGCAGAGCCCTCAGCCATCTCTCCAGGCTCTGACTCCGTGCTGCAGGCCACAACAGATTTCTCACTTAAAATGGAGATTGGGGAGTGCTGCAGAGGCAAAGAGGTTTGTTTCCTCATTAGCTAAATGAGCCCAGGGTGGCAGACAAGGTTTGTCATCCTCTGGAGATTCTGCACAATCAGCTTGTTAATTTTTAGCTCGAGGTCTTGCCAGGCTTATTACTGCATGCAGCAGGACGTCGTTAGCCGCTGCTCGGGGCTGAGGAAGGAGGTGATTTGTTTCTGGAGGCACTGCCACATCTCAGCTCTGCACCGGCTGTGTGCTGCCCCAACTGACAGCAGGCAACGAGAGCTCTGCACCACGGATCCTCAGCCCTGGGCAGGATGTGCTTCATGTGTCTGGAGCAGGGAGTTCCTAATGTGAGAGCAGATCCTTGCACCCCATTTATGTGCCCTTTTTCTAGTATAAAAGGCTTTGGTGAAAAGGAAAACAGAAAAAAAACAAAAACAAAACAAAAAACCAAGAGAATATTCTGTCAACAGGAAGGTGACAGCAGTCGTGCAGCAAGGTGTGCCTGTACCCAGGGCTCAGTCCTGTAAGGCTATAACACAATGGAAAGTGCAGCAATAACCAGGGGGTGGCAAAGTCCTGAGCTGCAGCAAGTGAGGATTTGCTCGAACAGAACAGCTGTGAGCACTGAAACTAAAGGAAAAGGCTGCTTACCTTTGGAAGGCCTCAGATATGCAGGAATCTCCAGTGAGACCCCCTCACTGCCAGCCCTTAAATGAGGGCCAGGAAGGGGTGGATCCTGGCTCCAGCCCTTCTATCAGGTACATAGCATACAGCTGAGCTCCTCTGGGTCAGCCCTGCCTTCCCACCAGGTGCCCAATCACTGCTTCGAGCCACTGCCAGCAGCCTCAGGTCAAACAGGATGGCAGAATTTAATAGAAGAGCATTTCAATAAGTCTGCCCCTAAGCTGCAAAGTGTGTCTGCCTGATTGAACACAACAGGGATGTGCAGTGCTATCACAGAATGGCCCAGGTCGGAAGAGACCTCAAGGATCATGAATCTCCAACCCCCCTGCCTCAGGGCCACCAACCTCCCCATTTAATACTACTGACAGCTATTAAATACCCCTGCTGGAGAATTTGCCTCCAAAGCCAATGTTGCTTTTCATTCTGAACTCTGATGAACTGTCTCAATTTCAACTTACACATCTGCTGAGCTGCAATTGACTCAGGCTGCTGCTTCAGAGGTGCAGAGGGAAATCAGTAAGAAAATTTCAATGGAGAGGTCAAACCAAACTCTTGTTCACCGCTGGTCGGCGCTCACTGTGGGCTGAAGGATGTGGCAGCACCAAACAAAGGCAGTGGCCATGTAGGGACTGCTGCCTCCAGAGCATCAGGGAAAGGGATTGCCTTAGCTGTCATTGCACTCCAAGTCACTGTAGGACTGTAAGACAGTCATGAAGTGCAAGAACAGAGAGATGCGTTCTGCTAGGGTTTGGGATTCACAGATTCACAGAATTGTAGGGTTTGGAAGGGACCTCCAGAGACCATCGTGTCCAACCCCCTGCCAAAGCAGGCTCCCCAGGCATCCAGGCAGGCCTTGAACATCTCCAGAGGAGACTTCGCAACCTCCCTGGGGCGGCTGACACTTTCAAGTCTCCAGATGTCCGAGCAAGCTTCCCTCTGCACCTCCTGTGCTGCAGCACACAATGGCAGCTCGCACAGCACTCACACTTGGCGTGGCGGTCGCAGAGGGCGGAGGTGCGCATGTCGCACAGCCGGATGGTGCCTTTGCTGCTGCTGTACACGAAGGTGTTGCAGTGGTGGGGGTGGAACTCCGCGGCGGTGATCACTTCCGTCAGCTCCTCCATGTTGGCTGGCTTGATGTCCACGATATCTGGGGGTGAGTGAAGGAGCCCGCTGCTCCCTGCTTGGAATTGGTGCCTCGAGCCATCAAACCCCTCAAGTTTTGCCTAAATCCTCCCCTCATTCACTGAAATAAGCACACATGGCAGCGTTGCTCAGATGTGGGCCCCCACCGACCACACACCTGTGGCTGCTGAACTCCGGCTGCCTAACGCTGCCACGTGCCCCCAGGGCTTCTCAGTAGAGAACACGACATAAATACCAGTGGCGCTTAGTGCCCCACCGTGATTATTTCTGATGCAGCAGTTAGGAGGGTGACAGGCATGATCTCATTTGTGCGCCTGTGACTGGCAGCCTGTCACCCTGCTGCGCTATTAAGATTTCCCCTCCCCGTCTCCCCCAGGGCATCTGTCTTCTACATCACCCCCAATCCCTCTGCCCCAGCTCAGCCCTGCAGGCAGAACTCAAAGTAGTGGCAGTGGGGGTCCCACAGAGCAGGGGGCTCAGCACCCAGCACTGCCAGCACACTGCCATGGCTCAGCCCACGCAGACAAGCACCAGCAGCAGTGACTGCTCTGGGGATGAGGACGTCCAAAGCTGTGACTGAGGGGGCTGTGGGTACTGTGGAGCACTGAGCCCTGCGGCTTTGCTGTGCTCTGTGCCTGCACCGACCTCCTGGCAGGATCTGGGGTAACTGGCAGTAATGAACCTGTAATGAGCAGGACCAGTTAGTAACACTGCCGAAGAAAATCACAATGGGTCGAACCTTTACCTTGGTTCTCCCTTTTCTGGGTCAGAAAGGACTGAATGCTTCCCTGTGCACCCGGCCCCGTGGCTCTCTGTTAATACAGCTCCTGGCAGCAGAGGGGCCCAGGGACACCATAGGGTGCGCGCACCAAAGGATACTGAAGCTCTGATTTGTGATCTCAAAGTTCCAGAGGTTTATCCGCAGGTCGTCGGCCGACATGTAGGTCTCGTAGTCGCTGTTGACAGATATGGAGTTGATGTGGTACGTGTGCGCGTTGGCAAACACCCTGCGGGGGGTGGCCTCCACCATCAGGTCCATGGGCCGCAGCACTGGCACCTGCAGGGGACGGGCAGTCAGCAGTGGGCACGGGATGCTGGGAGCCACGTGGGGCAGCACCGCAGCATCGTCTGCTTTGGGAGACAACAGTGCCAGTCCGGAGCTCTTCTACAGCAACAGTTCCTTCTTCGGTCAAACAACAGCAAAACCTCTCCTATTTTGTCACTTCGGAATGTGAAATTCCTGCCCCGCTGCTAACAGAAGTGCTGTATTAAGAGCTGAATCAGCTCCGGATTTTCTTTCAGATTTTCAAGATTTGCCCCACAGTGAATGGTGGAAGTAAAGGAGGGGAAGAGATAGAAGGGAAGCACAGGGCAGGGACAGATGGAGGAAATAGGAATGTTTGCCTTTGGATTTGTAAGCATAGCTCACGTAAACATGAGGGGATGGAGGGAGGCATGAAAGCAGCATATGCAAGGAGAGGTGTACTTAATAACTTCAGACATTGTGCTCTTAAGGCAGCTGCGTGCACCAGTGCTACCCCCGCCAGGAGCTGCGCCCTCCAGCCACTCCATCACAGCAAATGTTTTCTGTGTGCTGCCCGAAGAGGTTTCCCATGGCTGCAGAGGTGGGGATGGGAGCATGACAGCCAGATCAAGTGACACAGGAACACAGGAACTGCCAGCCTGGAGCCTGAGCTTAATGTGATGCGCCTGCTTCCTAATTCAGTCTGACACACTCAATGATGCATCGTTTGCTGCTGAAGGACTCTGCTCAGCCATCTGGGGACAGAGGCTCGCATTGTGCTCAGAGATTGCAGGACATGGGCTGTCACTCAGACCATCAGAAACATGATGGTTTTGCAAAGTGCGTGGGCTCAAACGTTACACTGGGCCACTCTGGACACAAAAGTAAATCATCATAGGCTCCGGAGCTCAGCACTGCTGTGCAGCCTGACAGTGTCCCAGTCAGACCCATGGCTGTGCCCAGCCCGCGTAGCACAGCAAACAGGGCATGGGGTGACCTACAGATCCAACACCTGCGTGGTCCCAACCTGGTCTCAGTGCTACTGACACCGGCCACAGCAGAAGGGAGCAGTGCAGCTGCAGGGCTGCACTCCGCCACCTCCTTCACCAACAGTGAGAATTCCTGGGTGCAGCCCTTCAGTTACTGAGCGGACCTGCAGGGTAGTGCCTGGTATTACATACACCCATTATTAAAGGGTAATTTGGTGTAACAAACCGCATCAAGTACATAGAATGGCTGTCAAATAAAATAAAGCACTAATAAATTATATTACTTCCTGTTCTGTGGAAGAGGGCAATGCCATTCATTACTCACTTTAAAAAAATTATGTCTTCATTTTTCTTTTTGCTTTTTACCAGGCACCTCCTGCAAAAAGCGCGCTCCCACCACCCAACACGTCCCACCCCGCCGCTCCTCACCACACTCCTGGCAGAGCAACAGCTTCACGTTCCTCAGGACTTGGCCTTACCGGGCTTTCCTGATGCCATCTGAGAAGATCCCTTCCCATAGAGACAAACCTGCTGTCTGGCCCCTCGCCGTGCGCTGATGGAGCTCCTGGTTCAGCCATTTCCCCAGCACAGCCCTGCTCCCAGCCACACGGTGTGCAGCGCCAGCAGAGCTCCAGGTGTGGGAGAGCCTTTCCTATGGGGGCCCAAAGTGCCCCGCAGGGCCTGGCTGGGGGAAGAGGGGCTCAGGAGCAGCACCTGCAGCAGTGAGGGCAAACCCAGCCCTGCAGTGCAGCCAGAGCACCTTGGAAGGGTCGGGGCAGTGACTGCCAGCACCGTCCCCAGCCCAGCCGCCCCCCTGCCTTTCCTTGTTTTTGTAGCAGGACAGAATCCTTTTTCAGTTTGTAACTGAGAATCTGTCCCTGCTTTTACATTTCAGAATGACTCACATCATCTGCACCTGAATTCTGCAGTAAGAATTCAGAAAACAAACGGCCCTCCCGAGGCCACGTGTGTGTGAGCATGGATACATTTGATACAGGAGAAGTAAAGAACAAACTCTCCATGAAGCCACACCCAGAAGCCAGAAAATATGAATGTTTTGTCAAAATGGGAGATATGAAACTATTTATGATGGATGCTGTCGGAACTGAGTGAAACAGCAGCTCTTAATCACCAACAGCACTGTGACAACAGCAGTCGCCGTGCTCCTCTCAGCCCCCTTGTGCCTTGCAAGGATCTAAGACAACTGCAGTCCTTGTTCAAAGAGTTTTCAGCCCTGGCTGTGATCTGTGTTAACGATTCCTGCAAACAGCCCCTGGCACACAGTGGTGCAGAGGCACTCAGGGAGCCCCGTGAGGTGGTGCAGAGGCTGCGGGCTGGGACCTACGCTGATGTGCAGAGCTCTCCCAAAGAAAGCAAAGGCCCTCGTGGTCTGAACAGAGGGAAATAGTCCTGCATTACGTGGGTTAGAAATTCCTCAGGTAATAATGCTCATCAAGTAAATCCAAACCATTACAACGAATAGGAAGAGATGACTGCAGCAAGGTGGTTTTAAATCTTTTTTCTTGTCTGCAGTTGAACACGGAACCACGGATGGATGAACAAAACGTGAGCAGCAGAGGAGCATTAAGTGCTCAGGATACACCAAGCAGCAGTAAAACCGAGAGCTATGTAAATATCTGTCTGAGGAAACCCATCAGTGTGAACTGGAGCAGACTGAAGGCTGCTCTCTTTTGCATCCTTACGGACAGAAGGTGTTGTGCACAAGGATAGCAATACCCATAACACCGAGCACTCACATTGAGCTTTACCTCTACCTGCTGATATGGAGCAGGAATCACATGTTCCCACGGGGCTGCTTGCTATAGACGTCAGGAAACTGTAGGGAGCATTAAAAAACACCAAAAAGGAAAACTTGTGCAGCCAACAAGCACCACGCTGAGATCCAAGCTGTGACTTTGGGCTGAATGTCTGCAACAAATGCCCAAGTTGTTCTGACCCCGCTGCAGCCCAGCAGCTGCCAATGCCAACGCCAGGATGCAGCCAACCTCCACCAGCCAGCGCCAGCAGCCAACTGTGCAGACAGCAGCACGGGCTGGGAAGGAAACCCGGCAGATGTACCAACACCAGCGTCACTTTGAAAAGCAGTTTGTGTTGGAAACTGAGACAGGCATCTCTTCTACCCTGAGCTCAAGTTACTCAACCGCAGTGATACCCCTTAACCACACCATCCTTTAAAAACTCACCTGTATCCCACACAGAGTCAGTAAGCACAGCTCCTACAGCACCAACACCCAGACCCCAGGAAGGCCCCTCCTGTGGGCTGCACTGGGCTCAAACTCTGCCTGAAACGTGGCAGCAGATGCAGATACATATCACAGAATCACAGAATCACAGAATTGCAGGGGTTGGAAGGGACCTCCAGAGATCATCGAGTCCAACCCCCTGCCAAAGCAGGTTCCCTACAGCAGGTCGCACAGGTCGGCATCCAGGCAGGTCTTGAACATCTCCAGAGAAGGAGACTCCACCACCTCCCTGGGCAGCCTGTTCCAGTGCTCTGTCACCTCACTGTAAAGAAGTTCTTGCGCACACTTGTGCGGAACTTCCTATGCTGCAGTTTCCAGCCGTTTCCCCTTGTCCTGTCTCCATTTCATATGAAATGAAATGTCTCTGACTCAGTGAAGGAAACACCTGCTGGCCCCAGGAGCACCTGGAGCAGAGGTGAGAACTGGGTCTGAGGTTCTGTGAGGCTCAATTGGCAATGAAGTCTGAAGCTACAAAGTGAGCCAAGGGCAGACATATCAACAGTGTTGTATTCATAAATACTGAACTCGAGTACTTAGAATGCAAACCTTGACAGGAGGTTAATAAATCACAAGCTGCTCTGGCTGATTAATGCCACCATGACATTACTGTGTAGCTGGAGTTCCTAGGCCTGCAGGTGAAGGGAGACCTTGAGTCTCTGCTCTGAATTCAGGCACAGGAGTGTGGCCTCATGGTGCAGCCCCTCCTTAGGACCACACGCTGCCCAGGCCAGGTCTCTGTGCACAAATAAAGTTCAGAAACAGCCCCGGGGACCCTCATAGGAGGAGTGGGTTCAGTTGCACCTTCTGCCAGCACTGCCAGGCACAGGGTGACTGCTTTAAAGGGTCCATGCATGCATCTCTCTCGCAATAAATGGCACACATAGCCTAGGCTGTTTACATCTGACTCGGGAGGCCTGTTGTGATCCACCTAGGTGGCCAGAAAACTCACAGAGAAGGAACTGCTGCTGCAGAAGCTGCCACTGTGCTGCAAATAGTGCAAAGGAGGCAGCTCTGCAGCTCCATCCCAGCAGGACAGCAGCTCTGGGCACGGCTGTGGGATCGCTGTGCTCACGATGTGCCTGCATCCCCAGCCGTGCAGCACTCCCTGTGCCCCCAGCAGCCGTCAGCACCATCCCTGGACACACAGCCCTGCCAGCACTGCTGTCTGCATCCCACCCCCAAAGAAATGCACCGTGCCGGCCGCTCACCCGCAGCGAGGTGATCATGGAGGGGTCTCGGAGGCGGCCGTCCTCATCCTTCAGGTTGTAGCCCTCCGGCCTCTTGTCGCGCTCACTGACCTTCCATAGCTTCACAGTTTTATCTGCGAGAGAACAGAGTCACACCTGGCTGCTGCTATGAGCCCCCTCTCCTTCAGGGTCGATCTCTGTGCCACGTTACTTTGAGAGTGAGAATGGAAAGAAAGAGGGCAACGTGGGAATGTGTTACAAAGCATCGCTTTATAACTCACTACAATACGAAACGCTGTCCTAAACACAGAGATAATATCCCTGTTAATCAAAAAACTGTTTAAAAACTCAATTAACAGATCGCCGTGCTCTATAATTAATCTTCATTGCATTTCAGTAATTCTCCCCCAGATGAATTTAGTAAATCTTCGAATTTTATTACAGTGATCAATAGAGTCAATTCTGTAACACAAAGTTAGTTGGTTACGGGAGATAATTAGAATCCTCCTCGTCCCCTGAAGTAATTAAGTCACAACCATCCTAGGGCCCCATTCATCCCAAGTAATATTCCTGGATCCTCCTGCTATTTATCTGAATATAACATGGAACTGCTGAGCTGAGCGCAGCTGCATGTAGGAACACAGCAGCTACGGCTTAAAAAAGCCAAAACAACAACAAAAACTTCACCCAGAGAGCTCAGAAAACGCCCAACAGGAGCCATCAGCAGAACAAAGCGCACAGAGGAGCCCCCCTGCCTGCACCACACGCACCGTTGGTGGACAGCAGGAAATAGGCGGCGTTCTGCTGCGGGAGCCATCGGATCTTATTGATCTTCTCCTCGATCTCCAAACTCTTCAGGTAATCGAACTCCGGCTCGTGGCTCTGGAAAGTGCTGTACACATTGTACTCACCCCTGCGATGGGGCTGGTTCTTGCTCTGAGGAGGACAGAGAGGATGTAAGACTTGGAGAGAACATTTCCCACTGAATCCTTCACCCCCAGGTTCTCTGCACACCTGACCCAGCGCTGCCCTAGGGCTGGGAGCTGAGATCTGCACTGAGCCCACAGCCCCCAGGGGACAGGTCGGGCCCCGGCACAGAGCCCTGAGGCACAGACTGCGTTGGGAACAGCACCACAAAGAGAGTCCATCAAGATGGGAATCATGCTGCTGGGAAAGGTGACAACGTCTGAGAACCATCTGCCCAGAGAGGCACAGCGCCCGTCTGCCAGGGGCTGCATTTCTCCAAATCGCACAGAGCTGTGCAGCGCAGGGCTCTGAGTGGGGCTGGGGCAGTTCTGTGGATCTGTGCTGCAGGTCGCTTCCTGCACACTCTGATGTTGGTCCCTTGGAGCACAGGGCTGTGACAAACAGGAGGCGGACGGAATGCATCGCAGGTGGTGTCAGGGAGGTGGAAGTTCAAGAAAAGTGGAAGAATAACAAAAAAGAGAGAAATATGAAATGGAATAGTAACAGAAAGGCCAACAAAGCATCTGTGTGTAACCTCATACTGATCAGTTTCCCCCAGCACACACAAAATACTGGGCAGATTTAACGTCGGGTGAAACATAACCCATTGATGCCCCATAGCATTACTGGTGGCCTCATGCAGTGCAGCCCTCTCAGGAACCCCCCGAGGAGCTCTGCAGCTCCGAGCTGAGGGCACAGTGCCCCAGGCCTGGGGGGCTTCTGAGGGTGGGACAGCATGGCCAGGGGTGGATGGCAGCCAGCTGTGCCCGTGCTGGGCTATGGGGGAGCTACAGCATGGCTGGAGGTGTGTGGGAACGCAACGCAGCATTTTAGGACATTCTACAATGTTACTCCAGGTCTTGCTGCTAATTGCCTCTTTCCAATTCTCAGTCTGCTAGGAGAGAACTGAGGTTAAGAGTGACAGGCACAGATTAGGAAACAACAGGACACTGCTTTACAAGGATAAAATGGCATTTTGTACTTACCTCCTGCTCACGCTGAAATATGACAACCCGACCCCCCTTGTCCCCTGTTGCCAGCAATTCTCCGGTGTGGTTGAATTCTACTGTAGAGATAATGTCAGCTGAAAGGAAGAAGACAAAGACAATTTAAGTAACTGCAGAGTGGCTTTCATAGGCATCTAAATGCACCATTCCCACGCAGCTCAGGCAGCGCACACTGTCAGCGCCTTCTCTCCCCTGTGACATTTCCATGCATCTCAGCTTTTCTTTTGTACATAATGACAGTTGCAGCATTTTGGAGCGCTGCTCTGTGTCCCACAGCCTTGGGGCGCAGGGATGCTCCCACCATGGCAGGGGACAGGCGGGGAAGCACTCATGAATCTGCAGCACGTAAAGACTTTAATCTGCGCGCTTACCCTTGAGGCAAAGCAGGAGAGCTGCTAATGATTGGATTTATTGGGGCTATTTTTAAAAGAATGTCAGAGGTTAATTCTGTGACAATTACTGCCCGACTGGTGTAACCAGCTGCCTCGAGCGCAGCGCAGCAAACAGAGCAGGGGACAGGGAAGGGTGGATGCAGTCTCCGTCATTTGCATCGCCCTGGAACACCCATAGAAGGCCACTACAGCAGATTGGCCACAGCCTCGTCCAGCTCAGCACAGAGCAGACCCTGCCATCACCATTAATAACACACAGTCACTATTTCTGCCAAGCAGGAAGCAAAATTCCTCCTGGCTTTATGCCCTGAAGTCCTTTCAATGTCTGTGCTTTGCTAAATGAAACCAGTGAGCAGTGATGGCTTTGCCCCACTTCCGTTGCTCCTGAGATGGTGGATCCCCTCTGTGCACCAGCCCCAGCTGTAACCACAGCCCTCAGCTGTCAGCTGCAGCTCCAGAGTACCCGCAGTCACTGGGACCTTTATAAGCTCACTGGAGTGAGTGAAAGCTTTGGGTGCTCACTCACTTCCTGCATCCATTCAGCCTGGTGATGTGCACAGAGCCCCACGTCTGCCAAGCTGGGAGAATCCAGATGGCAGCAGGCAGGTGAGTGATGAACTCCATGCTGCTGCCATTAACATGCAACATGCGCTTCTCTTCCCCACATTACCCCATCTCTCCAGCATTCAGCAATTTGTAATGACACATGAACGCATTCCAAAGTTTCTTGTAATTCATTTACAACTTCTGGTGGCTGTGAACAGCCTTGGAAGCCCATTTCCCTGCAGATGGAGATGGAACTGCAAAGACAAACCCCAGGGACCAGAGGTGAACAAATGGGAGCAGGAATGCAATGAGGGCTGAGGCACTGCGTGGGAACGCTCCTCAGCAAAGCACTTTGTCCTCTGCATGGAGCCCTTCTGCATCAGCCTGCACGTGTGGGCAGCAGAATCTGTCGGGAAGGTTTTAACCATCTGTTACTAACATTAATAGAAGCACCAAAAAGCAAAGCAGAAAGGCCAGCCTGGTTCAGAGCCAGGCTAAGTGCAGCGGTGCTGGCTGCATCGCTGAGCACTGATAACACCTGTTCGGAATTTCACTCTTTTGGGGTTCATTTCAAGCTACCAAACAGATCCTGAGCTCCTTCAGACACACCTGTTATTTTCTGCTTGGCTGGATTTGAATTACTGCTTAAACATCAGTCCCATTTTGCAAGTGAAAAGATGGGGATGGGAAGCTTTCCTGCCTGTTTTCTTCCCCATGGAGTTATGGAAAGAAAAAAAAAAGCAAAAAATGGGAGTGAGAGCCCAAGTGTGGGTGGCAGAGCAGCCTGCAGCCCCCCATGCACTCACTGCACCCACTGGGTTCAGGCAGAGCCCCCAGCTGCACGGGCTGACAGCACCACTGCCCACAGGCGATACTGAGGGGCGCACAGAGACTTCCTCACACTTTTAGCCCAGGCTGCCCCACAGCTGCACCCAGGAGGATGTGGTTCTGATGCTGCTGTTAATAACCAGCACTAGGAAGCGCTCTGCCCCAGCACCCACTGTAACCGTGCTGTAACCTCAGATCTGCTGAGTTGAAGGTGGAACTGTGAGGAGACACAGAGTTCTGTGTACCAGGGAAAGCTTTGCACAGAAACCGTGCTGCATGGGCCTCCAAAATGAAATCAGCAGCACTTCAGTGAGCAAAGCATCCACCGGCACAGTGCCCTTCCGTCCGGTCCCCTCACTCAGTGGATGCCTCCTGCAGGCCAGGACAGCTGTTGGTATCTACAGCCCTGAAAAATCAATCCAGAAGACATCTCCCTACATCCCCAGAGCAGATATGTAGCTCAGCTAAAACGAAACACACTCAAACACTGACAGACTTTGTGCTTGGAACCAGATGGGGTTCAGCAGCGCCAGGTTAAGCCCTCATACAAGCCCAGGTTTTCACTGCTAATGTTTTCCAGCTGTCAGTGCCTTGGACACAACAGCTCAGGCAACATTTGCAACTGCAATGCTACTTTCCAGCAACGTTTAGGCAACATTTTCTAACTCCTATGCTACTTTCTAGCACAGTATAGGCAACAGCTCCTAATTCTAAGGCTACATCCCAACCACTGCTGCTAAAAGCCTTGTTTATCGGGAGGGCAGCAGCAGCCACAGCCCCAAGCAGCACAGCGCCACCCGCAGCGCTGAGGGCAGAGCAGCCCTGGGTGCAGAGCACAGGACAGGAAAAGGCCCCGACTCCAGCAGAGCACAGCAGAGCGCAGGCGACCTCCAACGTGGTGAACATCACCACGGCCCCTCTGCCAACTCCACGCCGGTAGAAACGGCACCTGGAGAGCACAGGGACAGGGCTGAGCAGACGCCGCTGCAGCAGCACAGCTACGCAGCACAGAGCTGCGCCTCACACCAGGAGGCGTTTTTCCTTCTGAAACCCTTCCCATCACCAGCTCTGGTTTTAGGTCACCGCATTTGTCAGTGCGTTGCAATAACTTCCCCTGCTGCACTGAGACAGCCTCCAGACAGCGGCCGCTCGCAGCGCTGCCAGACTCAACCTGCAGCCTCCCCCCTCCTCAGCACAGCGCTGTGATCCAGGGACTCGAGCGGCTTCTGCCCCAGCGCAGACGTCGTCCCGGACAAACCACCAGAAGCTGCCCAGAGGCGGGCAAAGGGCGGCTGAGACACTCGGCTCATCCCCGGCTCCCGCCCCGGCAGCGGGACCTCACTGGGGTCCGGTGGGCCGGGCCTGGGCTCTGCCCCAACACCCTCAGGCTGTAACAGCAGACGGGCAGCAGCCGGGAGAGCATCTCCCAAGGGAGAAGGACGGAGCTTAGAGATGACGGCACAGCAGCGGAGCAGCGCTGGGTCCCACGCCAAACTTGCAGCCCCAGCACGGCGCACTGCGCGCTGCTGCCCGCCGCTCCCACCCCGCGCTCAGAGCAAACCGGCAATTATTTATTAAAATTCCTGTGCACGCGCATTGAAATGATCAGTAATTGAAGTCCATTTCTCCTAAGGTTCCTATAGTAGTTTTGTGACAGTAAGAAGGAAAAACGCTTCTTTTTTTTTTTTTTTCCTGTTTCTATTTCCTTCATTGCCTCCTACACGCTCAGTGCCCCGAATGTGGAGAATTTAAAGAAAACTGTTTCCATGGAGACCCTCCCCTCCGAGCAGCACCAGCCCGCAGCTTTCCCTTCTGTGAGCATTAATGTTCCTTCACGCTTTCATGCTAAAAATATCGAGGGCTGGATTTGATTTTCACCCTAGCGATGCGGTTTTATCAGAAAAATAGAAAATTTATAACACACACACCCTGGTATGCACACGTGCTGCTGAATGGCAAGGTGCCCCTTCCCCTCTCCTACTGTGGGAGGAAGGCACATTCCCCAGCAAAGGGACAACGAGTGGTTGTTAAACATGGATGAGAAAGCCAGGGGCTGCCCTGGTGCCCTGGGCCCACACACCCCATCCGTGCTCCCAGACACCCCCCTAACCCCACACTGGGACAGCCCACATCCCCACCTCTCTCTGAACACCTCCTCCTGAAATCCCTGTGTTCCAAGGGGCAGAACTGTGTCTCCAAAGGTGCGGTGGGGCAGCTCTGCACATCATGTGTGCAATGCCTGCTGGCACAGCAGCACGGATGCAGCAGGTTGTAGCACTGCACGGCTGCCCCAGCACAGCAAACCAGGGCAAGATTCAAAGCCCAGGAAAGGTAGGAACACCATCTCAGCTGAAGCACTTCTAGTGGATGACCAAATCTCTGCAGTACCTCATTACAAACACATCCTTGACGTGCTCCCAGCACTCACAGCCTATCCCACTGCTGCAGCAGGGCAGGCAGTGCTGGTGGGAATGTGCAGCTCCATTGCTCGGACCCCATCAGCTCCAAACAGTCAGCACATGATGGTATTTTCCCTCCACCCCCCCTTTGCTCTGCAGCCTGGCAGCCACGCAGCTCTCCTGCATCCTGCTTCCCTCCATCTGCATGGCAGGACCATGGCACACACATATATTTTTATAAACCTTCTTTCTCCATGAACTGAAGAGAAAACGCTTTGGAGGCAGCAAGAGCATTACTGCAAGCATCATTATGATAAATTGGCTACAGTGGAAGATTGTGAATAGCAGAGCTTATGTCTGAGATCCACAGATGAGTCAGGCACACAGCTGCAGTCAGTCATTTCCAATCTAGCCAGGCCCAGAGCTGACATCTCCACGTCACCACACACAGCTACCCTGCAGCTCCACACCTTGCACAGCTCCTCTGCTCCACGCAGCCATTGCAGACCCCACATGTCCCCATGTCCTGGTGCTGCTCAGCCCCAGGCAGTGCCTGGCAGCCAGCAGCACCCCTGGGTCCTCCACGCCATGTGGGGGGCAGATGTGCCCACCCCACATCCCACTGCTGACACCACAGGCCAGCACTGGGAGAACCCTTCACACACCACTCCAACTGTAACTGAGGCGTCCTCCCATAAAGTGACCCCAGATCCCTTTCCAAAAGCGACACAAACAAGTGTTCCTACTGCACTGGGACAAAGCAGAGCTTTGAGGAGGTCTCAGGACCCAGCGGGGCACTGAAACCCTGTGTTCTGTCATTGGTAAGAATCACTTGGCCAATGGCAGCACACACAAAGCCTCCAAGCCTGCAAATGGTGATACATTGGAAGCACCATAAATAACAGCAAACCA